ACCTTAAAGCGAGAGGGTCGTCACCTGCGCACGCTGGAATTGAGTCCCAAGCGACGATAACAACACACGCTAAAAACGCAAAGTCTCATGGGTAGACGCTTGTTTGTAAACAATGACACGCTATGGCAATTTGACGCATGCGCAGGGGACGACTACCTCGTTTCAATTCACTCGAAATAGTATAATCATACGGAGCCGGAAACCTATATAGTAAACTGTGCGCCTAGCCTGTATGAGGAAGGTATCGGTTGGTATCTTGTATATAATGATATACAGGCGACGAAGGCTCCAGCGATTCTATATTCTTTAAACTGGAAAGAAAAGTCAAATTATATAAAAAAAATAACAGTTTGGAAAATATTAATTGCTTTTTGCCAGCGCCTCACCTTCATTTTACCAATATTAGCAGAACAATCTAGAAAACTAAACTGGTTGACTTTATTTACGAATTTGAAAAATTTAGAAAAAAAATACTCAAAGGATGACAGAAAGTGGTAATTTCTTATCGTATTATCTGAGTGAGGGAAATTATCTACTGAGCTCCCTGTCCCATCGATTATTCATTATGCAAATAATAATAAACCGAAATGTTGTAGGCAACTACAATTTGTATTAGGTCGTGGGAAAAATAAACCAATGTAATGAGAATATACTCATTATGCATGGTCAATCTTGGTAGTTAATTGTCTCATAAGGTCAAATGTCACGAAACAAGACTACCCATCGTTTGTGCCATTACAAAGGTTTTCGTAGTTGTACATGGTCTACCACGGTCACACAACAACAATGATAACTGATGTTCAGACATTGTGGCATCGAATGAACCTTCATATGCGTCGATTCCAGCAACCAGTCCGATGCATAGTAGTAATCTGCATAGTTTGTCTTATGTAAATCATCTAATTAACATATTCATATTTATGTAACTATTTTGCTGCAAATATTGTTATTTTTAAGCTCGAATAATAAAATAAATTAAAGCATATTTCATGATTTCTGTTTCTGTATTGGGTATTTTATAGCAAATGGGTTTAGTGGTTATTTCATTCACAGCAAACATATTTTGAAATAGAGGTCCATTATTCAGAATGATTATCATTTCGTGGAAATGTTAACATCCCGGATGTTGAATTTCAAAACATTTAATTGCCATTGTTGCCATATAAATATTAGGGTACCGACAATGTTTTTCTAGGTTCAATAACAAGACTGTTTTAGCATACATTTGTATGTATCGTTTCGATCGATTTTGGTTGTTGCCATGGCAACAGTGCAAAGTAAATTATTTGATATGAGATATTGTAGTGGTGTTTCTCCACCTCGAATAAGTATATTATTTTTTGGTGATTCTAGTCGTCAGACTTGTTGCTGCCGCTGTTTTCTGTGACTTACATACCTAACGTTTCTGACAATTCGGGAGTTTAGTCCAGTCCGTAGCAACCACACTACAGTAAATTGGCAACACAACTGCTCAGACATATTGTTCTGGTTGCAGTACATAAAGTATGGCAATCGCATTGGGATGATACTCGTCAACTCTAAGGAATCAATATTTAAGTCTTGATAGTAAGGTAACAAATACTGTACTGAATCTCAAAGAAAGATCAAGCAACTGAGTTTTCATTTGGACTACTGAACGTGTCATGAAAACGATAATATACGAAATAATTATTCAATTCTGGTGAACTGGCGAACCTTAGCAAATAATGAATTTGAAATTATACATTTAAAAAAATATAACCTCAATTATTAACATGTTATGGATCTATTCATTCTCTAGGCAAATATATTTTGTGTGCAGCAGTACCATACGTCCCTTGTGATTTTAGCTGAAGTATTTAGTGTATTTTAGTGACTTGTCAGTCACGACTCAATGCCAGTGAATAAAAAAAAACGTCACACAGGCAGCGATCAGTGAAACTCATCAGCCTTGATGAGAATCCGCGTGGAACATTTATTTCTAAGACAAAGGGTATCTCTTGCCTTGCTTGTAAATCGAAGTATCGTTTATAACTGTAACTTATGTTAAAGCGGGGGAGTCTGCACCTGCACCTGCGCATACGTCAGATGGCCATAGCGTGTCATTGTTTAGAAACAAGCGTCTACCCATGAGCCTTTGCGTTTATAGCGTGTGTTGCTATCGTCGCTTGGGACTCAATTCCAGCGCGTGCGCAAGTGACGGCCCTCCGGCTTTAACCAGTACATATGTCTTTTCAAAAAACACTAACAAGACACAATGTTGTGGCAACAAAACATTTAGGACACACGTGTGTATATCCATTGCCTCACTCTCTCCCTAAATTGGATAAGTACCTCATTATTCCAGCCTCACCTCAAAATAAGAAATCAATATTTCACGTTGAACTCAGTTGAACTCATGTATTGACATGATATGCGTAGTATAGTATTTATAATTAGAGACACCAACAATTTTGTCAACGTTAAAATGCGGTGTCTATGAAACGCGTGTAAAATACTTTGTTTCCATGAATTTCGAACATGCGCTGCGCGACGACCCTTTAAAGGGCGGCAGTCGTCGTACCGCGTCCTGTTCGATACGGGACTCATAGCGACGTATACAATGCGTGTAAAATACATTGTTTATTTACATGAAATTCGAACACACGCTGAACGACGACCAGCGCGCTTTAAGTTCAGTATCCATGACATCTGGGGACGCAGAGATCATACACCGTAACACATTATCTAGACGTGTGTGAAGATTCCATGAGAAGCAATTGAATTAAATTGCGGGCAGTGTTTTTTCTTCTACCTTCCATTTATCGAGTAGGTGAATTCAGTCAGTGTGTTGCAGTAGTAACAACAATTATGGGAGCTCTACGCATACTTCACGGCGGGTGATCATGAACGTCGGCAACGGGGAACTTGCTTCTCAGTACTGTTGTAACCATATAATACATTTGATAATTGGATATTCTTAAATTTAATAATTTAATAACGCCTCAGGTGAAATGAAATAACATGAACACGTCAAACGTAACATTTAGATGATACATATAATTGTAAATACAAAAATAGTTTAAATAATTTGACCAAGCGCTTACAGATTACAATGGGAGATTTACTTTTCAATGGTGTATGTTGTTATGAGGGGGCACATAACAACATGGAATTCGCTTTTTTTTCAACCGAACGTTAGAATGCCGTTTCTAGACCGACAACCTGCGCTGGTCTTGTTTTGTTTTTCTTCTTTTTATTTGCATTTTATACAGCGCTTAGGCTTGAATGATATAAAATGATGAGCGGATTGTTTGCAGTGCATTTAACCTATAGCTAGACGCACATGTTAGGTATTTGAAGGCACGTGTTACATGTGAATATTTACGAGCGGCTAAGTAACAGCAATTTATAAATAAATAAACGCTGCTCGGACTGATAACTATGATATTATCTTCTATAAGTAACAGCAACACGTCTGCTCCTCGCGCGCCTGCTCGACGTGGGCTCCTGTTAGAACACGCGCTACGTAAAGACTATTGAATAACACATGGGGGGGGGGTCAAAAATTACAAACAGCCAACTGTTTACGCTAAATTACTGAAATGTCACGAAATGTATACATGATATGTATAATAGTAGCATACTGCAAATACGTAGACACACATTAAATCCCCCCCCCCCCCTGTGGCGGCTTATTATTGATCATATATGTGTTAATCTATGATACAATCTACGTTTTACAGGTGTCTCTTCTTATTGACGAAAAAAACGAACTGGAAATTTATTTTCCTATTGTCATTGGTAACGTGCCTTATATAGACGTCTCGCCAACAGCAAGTCCCAAAGAAATCACATATGGTTTGTATATATCTTTGGCAGGTCTGTCTGTCTAGCAATATGAGTATAATATCAGTATATTCTACATATACCATTCACTTCATATATTGTAAGGATATGCAATGCACATGCGCTGTTTAAATATTGACACGAGTTTTATGTGCGGTGGTGGCAGATATATGATCAAAGGTTTGCTCGAACTACAATTGAACTCCCCAGTATTCTGGTATCATATTACATAAAACAGTTTAAAATACAAGCATGTCGTCACTTGTAGAAAATTGTTTTCAAAAATTCTAAGTGTGGTGTCAAACTTATATATTAGATAAGGCGATATTATATTAAGCGTTTGAATACGCTGAACGCGCTTAACAAAATTGATTTTTTAACGAAGCACACAATGGGAGTCTTTGTAATTACCCTGTCTGTGTGTGCGTGCGTATATATGTGAGTATCTGTTATCTCAAGAACCGATTCGTATATAGGTGCTCCGGGACAATACGTAGATCTGATTAGTTTTGACTAAGCAGCCGTGCATATTAACCACCTAATTTGCACGCTTTTCCACTAGTACAAGTACAAGATAACAGACCTGATTATCGACTTTTCTAACGATATCTCAAGTACTAATCATCACTTTTCAATGAAACTTAGATGATCTGTGACATGGTGCAGACCTGACTGGTTTTATGTTAAAATACGAGCATATTATTTACTTTATTTCCATAATAATTATAAGGTTTCCTCATCATTATCTCTAGTAATTATCACCACACTTCAATGAATCTTAAAAACATAAATCCTCTAAGACAATACGACGACATAATTTGTTTACGGGTTAATACATCCATAATAAATACCTAATTAAATATGCTCCCAATACTAAGTTTTCTGATGTCTCATTGTAGGTCACACGGCGCCCTCATCGTGTGGAGCCATGACAGAGGACATTCAGTACAGTGACGGGGAAAACATTACGCAGCTGAAACCATTCGCCCCATTGTACGTGGTGTTAGCCAACACACCGCTTTTCCACTCCTCGAACGGGAACTCACTTGTGAATATCAAGCCTAATGAGATGGTACAAACGAGGACAATCACGCGGATTAACAGCAGGGAAAGAGACGGTGTATTCATCCGCGTCAACTCTCGACAGGAGTACTCCAATTTGCCGAAGCTACGGGCTGTTCAATCCGTGCACAATACGACCACTAAGACGGAAACTGACATTTCGAGGAACGCCCCCATAAATAATACGCACACGCATTTTGGTAAACACGGAACAAGTAATCCGGAACACCCGAGAAAAAGATTCGGAATATTTCCCACTTTTGGGGGAACAAACTTCCCGGTTAAAACTGAATGCAACGGAATTAATAAAAGAACAACACATTCTGGGGGTACCCAAGACACAGAAGAACACGAACTCTTGACAAGAAGCCAGGTATCAGTGTCCAGTACCAGCTTACCCAGCGAACGGCTCCCAGAACCGCCCGATATCGACGCTTTGGAATACGGCAGAGTTGTGCGACCTAGAGACCCGCCTTACAGAATATCCGGGCATTATGTGTGACGTCATTACATTGATCAAATCTATGCAGATGTTGTGGCTTAACTAGCAGGGAACGTGAGCCCGGGAACGTGGATACTATGCAGAATTTTCTTTCGGACAGATTTTCGAGTCCGGGAGCTCTACTATATGAATAATGTCTTCGTTCGACGTGATGTTAAAACTCAGAAATGTGGCAGGTAGTTGAAAGACGACACTTGATTTTCTGTCGGACAGTCTGCGCTGTAACATTTACATACCAGAGTACTATCAGGATTTTTATCACAACTGTCAATGCATTATTTCGTTTACAATGGGCAATAATAACACACTATACAAACACAATATAGCCTTTAATTAATTGTGTATTAATTCACTTCATACCTTTGAAGTGAAAAGTGACAATTTCTTGTTAATTTCGGACCCATTGTTATAAAATTTATTATATTAAGTGACATTGGGACTCAGATTTTAGACCATTACGAGTTATTTTCAATTTTCATAATTCGATTTTCCATTAATTTTAAGTATTCGAGCGTTGCTTGTAATTTTTTTTTTTAAATTAAAACAATTGTTTCCCGAGGTATGTTTAAAGGCTTGATAGAAACAATAACAACATATACGGGCTATGGATTCTATTATATTTAAAGTTGTAATATTTTGTAGCCTAGCTATATCTAACTTGATATCGCGACCCGTCTTCACGAATTAAAGATTTTCTTACATTACCCAGGGTAACGGTTTTCACATAAAGGATGTGACATATTTATTTTACATATTTTTTGAATAATGTTGTTGTAATTTATGTAATTGGTTGAATTAACGCTTTTCAATTTGTAAAGACCCAAATCGGGGGAGGGAATGATCACTCTTAGAAAGTGTCTAATGAATAAGTTTGGTAACCTAAATATAGGTAAACACGTTTTATTGAAAAACTCCAAATTGTTCAGGATTTGCGTTTTCCAATACTAATACTACGGTAGATTTAAAGCCATGATTTCATGAGCGTAGAGTGTTTGTTTTATTTGTATAAAGCATACATTCACGAATGATTAAACTCTAAAGTCTACATAGGAGACAATGTAACTACGGATATTTCCAACTTTTGCATAATTTCCGTCTAATAGTACGTTTTTACAGATACTCCAGGGAAGAAGGACATTCTTTTTTCTTTCTTTTTTTTTTGGAATCGTTGATATTGGTTAATAGGTGATAATTGTTTGCATAACTAAAGAGTCATGTTAATTGCCATTGTGCTCAAATGCATCAGTGACAGGTGACTGATTGATAAAACAGCAGCAGTTATAGACTGTATCATCATTTAAAATCCAAATACGTTAATTTAGAAAACAGAATACTCCGTGGCTGGCGTTCCTATGTAACGTACACAATAGGTGGAGAAGGCGCTGTTTGTTGACTTTGAATTCGAACACGCACTTCACTACCTCTGCGGTCATTATTTCGATTCCCATTGCTGAGTTTCCCGGGAATTTCTTTTTCCAAGCTGACAATAATTCAATACATTATTTGTCTCATTTCATCGTCATATACGGTTCATCTTCGTACACGACGATGGTTGTGGCAAAGATGTGACAAATCGGAATCGACACTCGTGGGCGTCTGGAAATATAATCTCATTATCAGGATATCATATCATAGGCATTGCATTACCCGCCCCCCTCCTCTAATTAGACAGACAGCGAATTTCAGTATCACGTGATATTGTTGTCCGAGTATGGCATGCAACCTCGTTCGCAGCAGGTCGAGCAATAATCATTAAAATAGTCCTCCAAATATTCATCCATCAAACCACAAAAATGCAGATAAATATTTGCATTCATTTCGTGCATTTGTTTATTTATACAGAACACACTAACCGTGCCGCCAAGAATCAACTGCGAACGAGCCCACTGTGATGACGTAATCAGACAGTATATCACGTGCACTAGAAACCCACAAGTGACCTTTCCTCCAAATGTGCCCAGTGCTCTTTTTTCAGTTCCTGGGGAAACGTACAACGAACAATTATCATCATTAATTATATTCTAAAAAAGGAATGAGAAAAATGAACTTATTTCACAAAATGTAGATATATTTTACGGATTTTACACGGAATTTTTGGATAAATCGAATTCCAGTATATCATAAACAGAATAAGCAATATTGTTCATTATATCACATCCCACAACATTAATTTGAATAAATATAACAATGCTTGAAGTGAGTGTGTGTTTATAATCATATACGGACAAGGCTGAACGTCGGTGGGGCTAGTACATTTCACATTTTAACTTTTCTTATTCCCATTGATTCGATTAAAACATGAACTATTATAAAAAAACGAGTTGCGTATGTTTTCATTTATATGGTTGTTTTCATTTATATGGTTGTTTTAAAGTCACTCACGCGCATGCCACTCAACAAATAGAGGCGACAAATTCATTACAATCTCCTGCTTCAAATATGACATAAAATAATTATTTTCGGTTGTATTCCCAAATACAAAACACTTTTTTGAGTGGAACTGAATGCAAAAGCTGACATTTTTGAAACCATGTTAATGGCAAATTATATATATATATATATATATATATATATATATATATATATATATATATATATATATATATATATATATATATAAATTGTACAGAATTTCCTTATAATTTCGGACAATTTCTGAGTACTCATCTTATGACTGCGATTGGTTTCATTATCCTATACGCCAATTGTGAATGATTTAAACAGTGTTTGCACGAAAAGTAGTTACGTGACCATGTATATTTAACGACAACATACTGAATAATTCATGATAATCTGATCATTTATTTAAATGATGGCTAACAAACATGTTTACTAAAAAAGCAGTGTTCGAATACAAATTGGACATATGTCGGAAACGGCGTGGCGCGATGACCACCTCCTTTGAAACACGCACATTCCATATCAAGAATGTTCGCAAGTCGAGTCACTTCAAGTTACTAAAAAAGCAGTGTTCGAATACAAATTGGACATATGTCGGAAACGGCGTGGCGCGATGACCACCTCCTTTGAAACACGCACATTCCATATCAGGAATGAACGCAAGTCGAGTCACTTCGAAGCTACTTACAAGATTGTGTCTGATTGGCTACCCAAACCCAATCATATAGCAGCTATTCTGCTTCGTATGCATGCTTCGACTCAACTGCGAAATTCTTCGTGGCAGCATGATTTATGATGCTTTCAAATATTGATAGATTTGCTTTAATCATTTCTGAAATGTTGATCTCATCAGATCATTAATGAAAGCAATATAGTGGCGCCAGGACCATACTGTCATCCCTATTGGCACTTCATCTATAATTCACTGGAAAGTGATATAGATATCGTGCTCAAGATACTGAATGAATACTGGCTTGTTCAGGCAACGGAAACTGTGCTTGCAGAGTTGTACTGACCTGCTTGATATATGTACGTGTACGTGTTCCTATGTGAACAGAACATCTCGGCAAAGTATATTCAACCCACGTTGAGCGGGTCGGGAAACCGGAATACTCGATTGCAAGACTGTATATTCACTAACTGTCTCTTTGGTGAGGCGTACACAAGTCCTTAATTTAGCGTATCCGTCTACTTAATAGATTAAACCTTAAAACCGAAGCTAACTCTGTTGCAAATTAGGACAATGGTTGTATTGTTACAACAGAGCAACTATACGCTGCTGTAGATCGACTGGAGAAAATGTACCAGTGGAAGCTGAACTGCTTTCAGTTTTTTCTCAAACCCAAAGCCATCAAGTGCATAACCCTCACTTCGAAGCTAATAAAGCTGTTGGGAAAGGGCATACAGAACTCCCTCAGGCACTCATTCATGGGTCTGTCCAGGACGCCTTCCTTAAGGATGGTTCTACAACAAACAGAAGACGTTGGGTGAGCCTGGGCCATCAGAACTGCTACTGTTTATTGATGTGAACATCGCCACACTGCTCATTAAATTTCGCAATGTGGATGACGTCCGAGATGTCAGATGTGTGGTACAGTTTCTGGTCTTGATGCAGTTTTTTTTTTCTGAGGGACAGGACACGCGTTCATATCCATGTTAGCAAAACATTCCGTTCGCTCAAACTTAGGCGAGGGTTCTCCGAACCCGCCTATTCACATAGTTCATACCCACCAT